GTTCAGTCTCCTATAGGGTCACTGCTCCTTCCCCTGGGTCCCGATGCTCACACTGCTTTGTGTGTGCCCCCCAGTCCTGTCAAAGTCCTGCAATCAAATCCTGCTAGCCTTCAAAGTCTGATTCTCTAGGAATTCTTCTCCCATTTCTGGACCCCCAGGTTGGGAAGCCTGACATGGGGCTCAGAGCCTTCACTCCAGTTGGTGGACTTCTGTGGTATTAAGTGTTCTCCAGTTTGTCAGTCACCCACCCAGCAGTTTTATTTTGATTGCGCCCCTCTTACCAGCTCATTGTGGCTTCTCCTTTGTCTTTGGATGTGGGGTATCTCTTTTGGTGAGTTCTAGTGTCTTCCTGTCGATGATTGTTCAGCAGTTAGTTGTGATTCTGGTGCTCCCGCAAGAGGGAGTGAGTGCATGTCCTTCTACTCTTCCATCTTGAACCAATCCCCCTATCTTTTATTCTTTAAGTATTTGTTTCCCTGGCATATAGAATTCATATTGCTTTATAGTAGGTCTCATAAAATAGTAAACATTAATTCATAGATAATTAGCAAAAGGAAAAGAAATGGTATGAATTGTTTAAATAGTTTAAGAAAATCTTAGGCAAAATAAAGTTCATGCAAAGCATGAAACAAATTATGTCGCTAGTAACTGACCAACTATTTTGAAATAATTTCCAAATAGTGCTTCAGCAAATGTTCATACATGGCATGTTTAGAGACCACCTTCTTTATTATTTTAGCCATTTTTAAAATTAAGATAATTGACATATATCATTGTATTAGTTTTAGATGTACAATGATTTGATATATGTACATATTGCAAAATAACCACTACAATAAGTTTGGTTAACATCTATCACCATGCATAGTTGCAATTTTTTTTGTTATGATAACTTTTCAGGTCTACTCCCTTAGCAACTTTCAAATATACAATACAGCATTGTTAACTGTAGTCACCATGCTGTACATTACATCCCCAAGAGTAATTTATCTTATAACTGTATATTTGTACCCTCTGACCACCTTCACCTTCAAAGTCATCTGTAAAGAACTGATTTTAACAAAGTGAACACATTTTGCTTACAGAGACCATTACTCTTATCAGAAAGATGTTTTCGTTTTTAAGTTAGAAAATGACATTCTGCATATGCACAAAGTAAATATGTGCAAAGAATTAAGAACAGGTAGAGCACTGAGTTGAAGGGAAAGGTAACATAAATCGTTGAACATAAAGTACGAAAGTAAATCATTAGTTTTTATTTTAGTGTGTTCGAAAATTTTCCCTATCCTAAATAACATCAGTAAAAGCAACTCAAAGAATTGAAAGTAATGATATTAAGTCAGTGTAATGTAGGTTAGGCTTTCTGGTTGATAAATGTCTCTAATAGCAACTGTGTTTTAATAAACAGGGCTAATTCCTGAGAATCAAATGATGCTCTTGAAATTTACATTATTAAATCTGTGGCAAGGTGAATAGCATCAAGTCAAACCTTGTAAACCCAAAGGAATGTGGAGTTTTCTGACACAGTAAGTATTTCCAAGATTAATTAAACAGTAAGTCATTGCATATCAAAATAAATCTGTTGAAAAAATAATAATGCATGTAAAATTACATTTTAACCTGATCATGTCACCCAAATTCTCTAAGGATAAATTTTTTGGAATAGCAAATAATTGAACATCTTTGCTCATTTAACACACACTTTTTTCATTAGATATACTATACACCACATATGTGCTCTTCCCAGCTAATTTTAATGTTATTTCCAGAAACTCTTTGAATAGAGATCACTAAGCTATTTTTGCAACATGAGTAAAGCACTCTAAAAGGTGAATTAAATCACACACATTATTTGTATATCACTGCACTCAGATATTTTTAAACTCTTGAAAGCAAAGGAAAAGTTTGAGAAGAGAGCATAATTGTTTACTTTGTACAGGATAGGTAAGTGTAAATAATCCTCTTTCTAAATTATGTATATAATCGATCTGCTCAATGGTGAAAGCATTCAGCAGCTTCCCCCACTATATCTGGAGCTCAACACAGAAACTCTTTCATCACTTTGAACTTTTCTTTAAATGGCTCTCAATCATATCCCAAGTCCAAATCACATATTCATGTCTTTTTCCTAAATTACTATGACCAAAAAACATTACCAACATCTCGAGTGTGTGCTTGAAATGCAGTTAATGCCTTTTTTAAAATTAGGACAAAGGGCTTCCCTGGTGGCACAGTAGTTGAGAGTCCGCCTGCCAATGCAGGGGACACGGGTTTGTGCTGCAGTCCGGGAAGATCCCACATGCCGCGGAGCAGCTGGGCCAGTGAGCCATGGCCGCTGAGCCTGCGCGTTCAGAGCCTGTGCTCCGCAACGGGAGAGGCCACAACAGTGAGAGGCCCGCGTACCGCAAAAAAAAAAAAAAAAAAAAATTAGGACAAAATATGCAAAACTTGAATGCCTTCTTCTTCAACTGGAAACATCTGGGGACATTTATGTGGAGATAGTATTCCTCTTACTTCTTTAGAGCAATTTTGGAAATGGACTTCACAAGTGGAGATAAAACAAATTGGATTAGATTTGACTATCTCTATGTAGTGTGACCAACTGTCCCAGTTTGCTCAGGACTAAGGGATTTCCAGAGACATGAAACTTTTAATACTAAAACTAAGAAAGTCCCAGGCAAAACAAGAGTCTGTCAACTCTTTCTCCAAATTTCCATTCACCTTTAACATGGTTTACATCTACAAATATAGCTATGACCTCCTTTTTTCACTAATAAAATAACAATAACTGTCCAGAACCTGACAGAAAGTCTGCTGACTTTCCTGCATCCTTATCTAAACATTCAACAAAAGAGAAAAAGAATAAAGAGAGCAAAAACCCCAGGTAATTTGAAGTCATCTGAAATTTGGCCTCTGAGGAGGAAAGAAAGTATGTATAAAACCAAGACTACCTCAAAAGAGAGATTTACCCTCCTGAAATTTTCCTCCTGCCTCATCTATATTTGGAATGTTCCCCTATTCCTCAACCTGTGGCAGTATCTCCCTGTGAACGAAAGCTTAACACAAACCAAATGACTACATCTACAAACATCTCATCTAAACTGAAATTGGCTCTCCTAGTAGGACTAAAAATCTAGGAAATGGTATGTGCATGCACTGGTCTTCTGTTTCAAGCAATCTCAGAAGCAGATTTACTTTCCATGAAGTCAGAATGTCGGCTTTATCCTTGATGAACTCTGGCTTTAAAACTCCCATGGACACAAGGTACATCACAATATCTTCTAAACAGTGATTACATTGATTTTTATGTAAAATACAGATGACAAAACTTTTCAGAGGATGGCATCATCACCAAAACTGTAGTTGAGAGCTATTTGAAAATTACTCTTGTGTTCCTTGACTTCTTCTAGTCATTACTTCCAAAGCACTGATATGGGAGTTGTCATTTAACATGCTACAAAACCTGTTGCATTTATAAAATCTAATATTTTCCTTCAGTATCTCTATCCCCTCCCCAGTTTTCTTAATGAGTATCTCCTTTAACCATTTAAAATTGCCAAGCTTATCCCACACTGTTCCATATAATTGATATAATTTCCTACATATCAATCAACATCCTCCATGTCAATGTTCTCATTAGAATCCCTTCACAATGAGCATGCCACACCCATATCTAGATAATTACACATCTAGATAACTACTCCAGATTCGGAAGTTAAAAAGTCATCAGAATAAATCTGTATGTATAGCTCTGTTGTCATTTTAAAAATTCAACTCAAGTAAACAAAAGACATCTACACTGTACAAATTTAGGAAAATCATTTTGGATCATCTCTGGTTTTTGTCTGTTACAATGTCAATTATTTCGAAAAAAGTATCACTTTAATCACTTATTTACTCATTCTTTAACTAACTAATGAGTGCCCATTTCATACCAGATACTGTGTTTAGGCAGCAGAGATCATGTATTCTTAGCACTTATAAGAATTTAAGATAAAATGTTATACGTAAGGAAAATAACAAAGTCTTAGGATCTTTAAGTCACAATGAACTTAACTGGCGAGTTCTTGTTAAAGGAAATTTATAATAGACTATATATGTGTCCTGGTCAAGTTTTATCCACCAAGTAGGCCTGAATTCCCTACCTGTGAATAGAGATACTTCTAGCCATGAGATATGTTCTAATATCCTGGATGTGTATAAATAGGGGACCACATAATTCATCAACTAAACCAAGATACTCCTGAGAATGAAAGAGGTACTTTTAGTAGTTACTTCAGAACAGCAGGACTTAATCCAGCAATGTCCCAGACAGTAGGTATATGTGTGTATATATGTATATGGGTGCCTATATACGTGCATGTATATAGGACGTAGAGCGCTACCACTAACACAGAACCGGTGTTCTTTACTGGCACTAGAATTCTGTTCTAACGATGCTGGCGCCACCATTGCTCAAAGAGATATTAACATCAGCTCAAAAGCTCTTATAACTACTGTGATCTTACACCCCAAATTTGCTAAAGCAGCTCTATTAGTAATAGGTTATCCTTTTATTGCATAATACTTTTATAACTTAAAATACCATGTGTCCCAATTTGATTTGGTGAATGCAGTAGTAGTAAAATTAGTATCCCCTCTTTCTGTGCAGAAATAAGATAAGGTTTAAAAATTCAGATTCAAACGGCAAAAGATCAGTTCTACTAAGATCTTCCCTGTCACTAGAGGGCAGAAGCCATTCACGTGATGAAGTAAAGATTCAAGCAATTTCTGTAAGTGGCTTGTTTCAAAGATTTTAGATTTTTTAGAAAACTGTCCAAGTAACAGAATGGGATACTTGCTATATACATCTATTTAAACTAAATTTCAATGAAATATTTTTGGCTTAAATATAGACAATTTGCTTACATCTAAAGTTTGGGAAAACATTTTAATTAAATGTGAAAAAATATCATGTTAAACATTTTAGGAAATACAAAGGACCCGTTAAGTTTACTTACAATTGACATTAGAGTTAGTACGTAGTGCTGCAAATTCTGTCCATGATGATGAACCATTTTAGCATCAGCTGTAACCATAACTTCCACGTATCTTGGATACGATAAAAAACGTTTTTTCCTGGAATGTAATTGACTTCTTTCATCTTTCAATGATATATTTTTTGAAGAGTCTCCTAAAACTATTTCCTCCTTTATATTAAGATCTTCATTCATGTCACTGTAGTTATGAAAGGGTAAAGTGGTTTTCTTTATTTGACTTTCTGGTGGGGGAAGAACACAACAATGTGGAGTCATTAAGTTGGAGGTGACTCAAAACACTGCACAGAATAGAATAACCAAAAATATTGAATACTTACACACCTGCTTCCAATATGAAATAAAAGGACAAAAAGAAATTATTTTAAAGTGTTATACCATATTATCATAAGCATTACTACTCATAGTAATATAATGTTCACATTTTCATAGATTGCATTAACAAAACTGTATGTAAGTCTTATTTTAACAGCTATGACTATTCAAAACATATATTAACCACTGGGCAGAAAATAAAAACAAATCAAGGAGAACTTATGTTTTTTTCAGTAGGTAAATTAGGTCCTCAAGCCACTGATTGCATCTAATCTCATTACAGAGAAGTATATTGTAGGATGAAACTTCACAAAATACAGAAAAGAAGCATATTTTTTGTTATACAGCATGTGAAGAGCACCAACAGAAAATGAACCCATATAACAACAGACGGCTTTTCAAACCCAGAAAGTCAAAGGTTGATATAAATTGTATAATACTTGATTATATGAAATACGTGATTATTTTTATTACATTTCTTTATATATAAATACAGTGTTAAAACTGCTGAAACCTTAGGGATTATTATGACAACTACTTGAAGTCCTATGCATTTATAAAAGTCACTTCTAAATTCTTATTTGTGCTAATGGAAAAAAATTCATAGGCAGCATGAGTGTTTGTCCTCTTTCCTTCTCTTTAAATTTATTCCTCTGCTCTCTTTCTTATTTTTCTCTTATAATTGTTTAGTGAAACTATTTAGAACAGAAAAGTGGACCAAAGACATCAGGTAAGAAGAAATAAAAGGTCCTGAATAGCTCATAAGGCAAATCATCAATACCACAACAATCAAGATTTAGTTGTACTATAAGGATTAGACAAAATATAAAACTATATTACAGAAATAATTCATTTCACTTAAAATTAGCAGTAATCCTATGGTTGTAAAAAAAGAAACAAAAGTCCTTGAACAATGTTTCCACAGATGAACTACTTTTTCTAATTCTTAAAACCATCCTGCCTTTTAATGCTACTATGCTCTTAAGTTTTAAAATTCATCTCAGTGGGAGATTGTGGGAATCTGGCAAACTGAATATACATTCCTAAAACTTTGTCCTGCCATATTTTTCCTAGGGTGATTCAACCACCAAAATATCCATGACTAATTATTAGACCCTGGAGAAGATCCCAGATATATCTGATGAATACAAATCTCAGATTTATCAGAAAGAAGCTAAATATTCATGTTTTGATTTATTTTTTTCACCCACTTCATTCATTCAAAATAAATTTTCATTGAGTACCTACTCTATGTCAGCAAACATTTAGAAACTGAGGAGCAAACAGCATCTAATAAGGCTTACACTCTCGTGGGAAGAGGAAAAAATAAATGAACACATATTGAAGCACTTAAAGTTACCTTAAATTTGTTCTTAAATAACAATTCAACCAAAAGACAAAAAAAGTGACTCAACCTTACCAAAATGGCTAAAACTTAAAAGACTGATAATACCAAGTGTTGGTACAGACACTTTGGAAAACTATCTGGCAATTTCTAAGTTAAGTTACACATGTACCCCACGGCCCTGCAATTACACTCCTAGATACATACCTAAGAGAGGGAAAATATATATCCACAAAACACTTGTATAAGAATGTCCATAGCATGACCAATGGAACAAAATAAAGAACCAAGAAATAAACCCTCACATATATGGTCAAATGACCTTTGACAAGGGTGCCAAGGATACTCCATGGAGAAAGAACAGGCTCCTCAACGAATGGTGTTGAGAAAACTAGATATCTCCATGTAGAATAATGAAACTGGACCTTATCTTACAACATATATAAAAATTAACTCAAGGGCTTCCCTGGTGGTGCAGTGGTTGAGAGGCCGCCTGCCGATGCAGGGGACATGGGTTCATGCCCCGGTCCAGGAAGATCCCACATGCTGCGGAGTGGCTGGGCCTGTGAGCCATGGCCGCTGAGCCTGCACGTCCAGAGCCTGTACTCCGCAACGGGAGAGGCCACAACAGTGAGAGGCCCGCATATCGCAAAAAAAAAAAAAAAAAAAATTAACTCAAAATGGATTAAGATCTAAAAGAAAGACCTAAAACTTTGAAACTCCTAAAAGAAAACAGAGGAAAAGCTTCATGACAGTTGGTTTGGCAATGATGATTTGGATGTGACACCAAAGCACAGGCAATAAATGCAAAAAATAGACAAATATGACTACAAACTTAAAAATGTATGTGCATTAAAGAGCACAATCCATAGAGTGAAAATGCAACCTATTGAATGGGAGAAGATATTTGCAAATCATATCTGATAAGGAGTTAAGCAGGTAATATACAGGATATATATATATATATATATATATATAAACTCTTACAACTCAATAAAAATAACCTGATTTCTTAAATGGTAAAAGGACTTGAATAGACATTTTACCAAAGAGAATATAAAAATGGACAACAAGCACATAAAAAAAGATGCTCAACATCACTTATCATTAGAGAAATGCAAATCAAAACTACAAACAGATATCATTTTACACCCATTAGGATGGCAACTGTTTAAAAAAAAAAACAGAAAATAAGTGTCAATGAGGATATGGAGAAATTGGAACCTTTGTGAACTGTTGGTAAGATTATAAAATGGTGCAACCGCTATGGGTAACAGTATAAAAGTACTTAAAAAATTTACATATAGAACTACCATATGATCCAGCAATTCTACATCTCAGTATATATCCAAACAAATTAAAAACAGGGTCTTGAAGTAATAGTTGCACATCCATGTTCATTGCAGCATTATTCACAACAGCCAAAGGGTGGAAGCAACCCAAATATCTATTGATAGATAAATGTATAAATGAAATGTGGTATATGTATAAAATGGATTATTCAGTCTTAAAAAAGGAAATTATTTCATGCTCTGACATGGATGAACCTTGAGGACAGTATGCTAACTAAAAATAAGCCAGCCACAAAAATACAAATCCTGTATGATTCCACTTACAAGGTATCTAAAATAGTCAAAATCATAGAAACAAAGTTGAATGGTTAGCTACCAGGGCCTGTCAATATCTCACTACCTGAGATAGCTCCCAAAGTCTGTCCAGCCTGGGTGCTAAGAAATCAAACATCTCACTGGCTAATAGTAAGTTAAACAACACATTTGATGAAGCACTATGTCTTGAAGGAGTCAGACTGACAGTAAGTTAGAATAGGTGGTTCTTTGCAGGCTGAAATAATGAAGAAACAAATAGAATTCCAAACTGGAATGAAAACACTGGATATAGTAATATAGCACAGAAAAAAAAAAGTCTCTAGAACAAAAGAATATATAAATTTTAAATTCAATTCTGGAGTAATTAATCAATTGAAAAAGGAAAAAATAGCAAATATCAGGATCCTGTAAACATTAAGAAGACATTATAAACAGCTTGATGCAAAAAAATTCAGAAATGTTTTCTAGAACATTTCTGAAAAAAATACAATATCAAAACTGACCCATAAAGAATTAGAAAGCCTAATAGCCACATAACTTTAAAAAAATTGAACTCTAATCAAAATCCAGTCTCAAAGGGCTTCACCAGTAAATATGATTAAACATTTAAAGAAGAAATAGCTCTACTTTCTCAAATACTTTTCTAAGAATTAAAAAAAAAAGAGGGAGAAAGATCCCAAACATGTTTTATGAGGATTTTAAATGACGATATATCAGAATATCTTCAAGATCTGGTTTTTATTTTTAAAACAGGACTCTTTAGGACACAAAAAATACTAACCATAAAGACTCTTCATTTGAGTAAGTTAAGACTTTGAATTTGTGTTTACCACTATGGGAGTAGGAGAAGGTATCTGCAATAAATATAAATAAAGGGCTTGAGGAGTCAAGATGGCAGTGTGGAAAGACGCAGAGTTCACATCTCCCCACAATTAGGGTGCCTGCCGGATGCTGGTAGGAGACCCCGACGCCCAAGGAGACAGGAAGAACCCCCAAGCAAACTGGTAGGACGTGGGGGCACTGAGCAGGGAGAAGTGGAGGCCAGACAGAACTGGTGCCCCTGAGGGATGACTGAGGCGGGGGGGTTCCCATGCCTGGAGGGACCCTCAGGGGCTCGGACTGGGGGGAAGAGACCCAGCATCTCCCTTGCCCAATCAGCTGGGGAAGTCTGCCCGGCTCTCGGGCCCGGTGCTACGCCCTCAGAGGTCCCCTCCGGCCTGGGTTGGTCTTGGGGGCATAGAAGGGAGGACAGGAGAGAACAGGAGAGGCAGGCAGGAGGGGCCCTCCAGGACCAGAGGAGCAGGAAAGGAGTGGAGCGTGTTTGCCCCACCGAATTGAGCATGGGGAGCCTGTTGAGTTCCCAGGCCAGTCCCCCACCCTCCAAAGCCCCCTCCAGGCCACGTGGGTCCTGAGAGCATAGGAGGGCAGCCAGGGAGATCAGGAGAGGCAGATGGGAGGGATCCTCCAGGACAGGAGGAGCAGGAGAGGAGCTGAGGGCATTTTCCCCACCCACTTGAGCCCAGGAAGCCTACTGGCCTCCCTGGTGGGGTACCCCACCCTCTGAGACCAGGGGTGGGGGGCACACCTGGGCCTCTTCTGTTCCGTTGAGCCTAAGCCCCAACCCCCACACCCCAACCCACCCCGCCAATTCCAGCCCTGTGGGTACTAAGCATATGCCCAAACCTCACCCCTGCTTAGGCCCTGCCCTCCACAGCCAAGGCCTTTACGACTTTTTCATTTTCCTCCTCTTCCTTTTTACTATTGCGGTTCTGTTTTACCTTCCAGTTGTTGTTTCATCTATATTTTTATTTTTATATTTTTTCTAACATAGCTGGATAATTTTGCACCCCCGCATGGCTTGTGGGATCTTGATTCACGAGCTGGGGGTCGGGCAGAAGCTCCTGTGGTGGGAGCTCCAAGTCCAAACCACTGGACTACCAGAGAACCTCAGATCCCA